TCAACCCAGGGATAGTGTGGGGCACCCTATGACTGGGGAGGTGCAGCACCAGGTGAGGAGCCATACTGAGTTCTGTGTCCCCTGCCCTGCCATCAGCTCTGTAGCTTTTCCAGCAGTGAGGAGATGAGAGGGAACCGCCTGGGTGGAGCCTCCTGCATTTTAGGGATTCTGCAGGGCTCTGCTCAGATCCCACAGTGCAGGAGATGAGTTGTATATCATCCATTTCACAGATAAGGAAACTGAGGCTCAGAGAAGTGGAAGAATGGATCTGAGCCCTTAGCCAGAGGGTGGTGGGCTGGGCTGGACATTGAGGGTGCCCAGGGCCAGAGCTCTTTCTAGGCTGATGCTACCAGAGCCTCCATCACACACCCCACAAGGCTACAGCCTTCAAAGGGTTCACACTGCCCTCCAGGCCCCCAACTGCACATAATTCCCCAGCACTCCCAAATGGCAAGGCTTCCAGCTGTCCAGGCTGTGAGCGCCCTGTGGGCTGTAGCTCTCTGTGCACCTTCTCCACTAAGGGCCCCCCATTCTCTTCTAGGTTCTTTCCTCCCTTCCACCCTGGATGCCAGACCTGGCAACCACAGGTAAGCCTTGCCCTCCAGCCCCTTACTGCCTCTGACAGCCCTGCCTACTCCTCTCACCCTCCCTCCCCACACCGGCACCCTCTGTTCCACAGCTGTCAGCATGGGCACTCGTAAGTGGGGACCTCACTCTTCTCTGACCCCATGTCCCTGGCATGGGGTTCCCATTGAAGGCCAAAGGGGCAAGGAAATGGTCTAACTTCAGTCACCGCTTGCTGGTCAGGGTGACTCAGGCAACCCAGTGCCTTTGCTCCAGTGAAAGGAACCTCAAGGTAAGTCTTGAGAGGAAAGGATCCTGCTTGCAGAAGCTCTTTGCATTTTGAAATACTGATAAAGTAAGTTCTGGAAGGACAGAGACCATTTATATTCCAAGCAGTAGAAGCCCAAAGAGTAGGGTGCTGTTTAAATCTATACAAGGTCTGTCTTGAGATGGAGACTGTGACT